TCTAGAATGCGCCTCAGTGTGAATATCTGATCCGCACATCCACGCCCAGCGCATAATCCGGCCTGGTTGAGTCGTGCCCTGAAGTCACGTACAGACTGGAAGCGGCTGAGAAGAACAATAGCGAAGATCTTTGCAGCAAGGTGGTGTTGGTGTGGCGTGTGTTGAGTGATGGTCGCGCTAGCCGCCCGCGCCCGCACCCTCCCCCATCTCCGGTCTTTACATTGGGTTCAGTGTGGGAGTGACGAGTGGGGTAGATTCTCCGCAAGTCTACTTTCACCGGGCTGTTTTAGCTTGCTGAAGTGCGTGGTGAACATTGTCGAGGGCGACGGTCAAACTGTTGGTAAGTGAGAACACTTGTGAACGTCCGACACCCTAATTCTGAACGAGACATGTTCAAGCAGACGCAGTTCGCTGAGACAGAGAGCATATACACTCTACTGCATCAACTTTTGCATAGCTAGACCTATCTGCTAACGTTACAAATGGCCCCACGTTCCTGCCTGCGATACATAATTCTTTCGTTCTTCCCGAATCCAGAAGCTGAAAGGAATCCCACAGCGGGGCTGCCACGAACTCTATATTAGGAATTGACATTTTCAAGAGAGTTTGCTAAGATGGGAAGTTCCCCGTCTTGCAGTTTTGATGCAGCTCCAGCGCACAAGGCGCCGACAGGCAGAATAAGAAATTTCTCACGTAACACCGCATGGAAAGACAGATACAACAAGCGCTAAAAGTAGAGTTTGTGCACATGTATGACATCCTATTTTGGCGTGCTATTGCCTTTCTAAGTCACATCACGCTCCGGCAGAAAATAGATTTTGCTGTTGGAAATTTGGCATCAAAGATGACGGCACAATTACAACTGGATATCAACCGCTCGTTGTTAGTAACTGCTTGGTCACACCTCATTAACATCTGGTAGTTTTGGGCTCCAGTATTCCACGAATAAAGCTCAGAGGGACTGGTGCAATCAGATACTTACGTAATTACTTACCATACTGATAACACAGGTACTAGCTAAAGGCCCAGAAACGTGTTTAGCTGACCGCATTTACAAGCCAGATCGTTAACTGGACGCACAAAAATTCGCACAATGACCACCGTATCTCTTCACCGATAGCTTTTAGAGGACCACGATGTTGAAAGTTGCCACTCAATGTTAAGAAAACTTAAGAGGGACAGACGAAAATGAACGAAGAATGGCGGGAAAATAGTGTGAGGCATCACGGTTATTGACTTCCATTGGATAACGTAAATAAATGGTTTCGTTGGTAGTGATACTGATCTTCAAGGGGTCAAACTAATAAATCTGTTCAATCCTACCTAATTGGAAGATGAGTTCTTGTCATTCGTTAGAACCA